AACCCCTTTGGTAATTACAATGGAGGTAATAATAAAAGGGACAGCTTAGGAAGTCAAAAAACGGGAAAGACTTTGAGGCTTATGGAGTGATGATTATAGTTCTATAGTGCAGCCTAATGAAAGAACAGCATGTAAAAATCCTCCGAACACCAAAAATCAATAAAATCTGTAGGGTTTTTTATCTCCTACCAGATCTGGAAACTTAGGTTTCTTTTTAGATGAGCTCACTGATAGCATATAGACATGATGTGATTCTGGGAGGTATAAAAATCAGGCTTTAAGAGGAGGGAGGTGTTATTTCTTATATAATTCTGCTGCTTAGAAAAAGTATGCACTGACATAATTTTCTTTGGTTTTACTTTATTTATTATGTATTGGGCACTTCCTGCTTATTTTTTTCTTATTTTTAGTCCAAGCTACATACACATGTTGCCACTCTTCGTACCTCTGTAATTCTGTGGTTTTATTATTCTGGCAAGTATCAATTTATTAGTTCTGCAATTGTAGCAAACCTTTTTAGATGCCTGTGACTGTTTCTATTGTTAAACATTCCTATAAGTGGTTTGAAAAAATATCTGCTGAAGTATTGCTATCCTGATCATTGATAAAGACCTTGCAGGTGATTATAAACCTGTAATAAGGCTTGTACCTGTAGAAGTACTTGCATGGCTTTTAGTCCAGTTGAGGGTAAAATGCTGGTGTCTGCAACTTCTATGCTTATGTGCTTACTGCTGTCACTGATGAAATGGTCATGAGATGTTACTATTTGTGTGGTAAGCTTAGTGGAGTAGCTCTGTGTATGTTCTATACAGCAGAGAAGTTTGTACAAACACTATTATTATTTTAAGATTGATGTAAATGATCCTTCAAAGATCTTATACACTGATGAGCTAAAAGGACTTGCTGCGAGCGTATTAAGGACAGGATTCTTCTCACCCAGTCCGAGACATTTATAATGGAGATTTCTAGAATTTAACTAGAAATTAATTTTTTAGTTTCTATCCATTTATCTTGAAAAATAGGGCCATTTATCATAAATGGAAGGGAACTGGTGGCTTTGAGATGTGCTTAATCTTAACTGCTTTTAGACATCTGCTTTCGGAAAAGTGGAATCACATCCTAGGATACCCAGACTCTTTTGATTTTACCTGCATCGATGGTAAGGACAGATCTGCATCTACATTGTGGGCATCCAGATTTAGTGAGATAAGCCCAGTAGGTGGTGAAGTCCCAGAACACAATCCTTAGAAGCCTTAGCACTGCATTTGTATGTGCTTGGGTGGCTGCCATCCTGGTGGGTCCGGTGACCCTTTGATGTGTAAGTGGAATTAGCTGCATTTCCAAGCCTAAGAGGAGACTCTGAGGCATATTTAATGCATACAGGGACAACTGACATCTTGAAATAGAACATTCCATTTCATTAAAAGTCATGCCAAGGTGAACAGGCTCCTTTCTCCAGCAGCTCAAAGAAAAGAGACTTTCATCAGAGCATTAGGAGTGCAGGTGAGTGTTCTTCTGTGCAAGGTGGTTCACATCCATGTATCCTGCTACATCTCAAGAACCTGTGTTAGAACATGGGTGGTAAGCTCTTCTGGAGTGGGAGGGCTCTCTCCTTTTAAAACCATGTCACTTGACAGTAAACTCGGCCAAACAAAATAAAAACTAATCTAAGATTATGCACCTCCCTTGAAGAGGAGAGTCCTACCACGAGTACAATTTCTACATTTAATGCAGTGTTCAGTGTGTTTGTTCCAGTGTGTTCCTTGTCCCACATAGGTGATTTAATTGCTTCACCACAACATGTGCTCCTTCCTGTTTCCCTCTGACCAATGCCTTTGCCCAGGCTGTAGGAGATTAGCTTGTACGTAAGCCTTGGGCTGTCATTCTGCACCAGAGAGAATGTTAAAAATAAATCTTTTTTACTGTTTGCCTTTATCTCTCCCAGTGTGGTGTGCCTTTTGGCACTCAGAATGGCAATTAATAGAAGTTTGTTCTCAGTAATGAATACTGAGTGTTAACTCCATGGTTAATGCCAAGTGGAGTGACTAGTATACTTGCCTCCTTGCTCACTGCTGACTTGCTGACATTTGAGAAAGATGGTTACATACCCTGGGCGTTAATTTGTGCTAAAATTGTAAATAACCAGTTTGAAGGTTGCTAAGCTGCTTGAGGGGCTGAGGCATGACTGTAATATATGCAGGATGAAAGTGACTTGAAATTAATTTATTTTTATAACTCATCTCCGTCAACTTCTTTGAAAGAAATTTAATGCATCTTCTTTGTTGTATGTAAGATCTGTTTCATTAAAAATAGGGCAAAGTTATAATAGCATTTAATCACCCTGACTGGAGCATTGTAAAGAAGGGACCAGGCACTAAACCGCTAATGCTTAAATCAGGGAAAAAGCTAGTTAGCTTCCCTGACATTAAGGGAACGAATTTTCAGAGAGCCATTCATTGATATCTGACAAACAGCTTGAACGGGATGCCAAACCCTCAGGGTTTCCGTTGTGAGCATTAAAACACATTTGCATATTTTTTTGCATAGAAACAGGAGCTCGCTCTATATTGCCAAACTGCAGAACTAAAAGGATGCAAAACCTCTACCTAGTCCAAAGGGCTCTGAGGGAGAACTTCATAATCAGAATTCAAATGTGTGCAACAGATTAGGAAAATGACTTCAAATGGGATTTAAACCATATCTGAGCGAGACTCGCAATCCTGAGCAGGTTGGTAGGCAAAATACTACCTGCAGTGCCATTAAAAAGCTTGTTTTCTTCTCCAGGCATTTCTTATGTGAAAAATAGCTTGCTGATGTCAACTAATCAAACAGATTAATGCCTTTTAAGGTGCTACTGCTTGGTTTTCTTGGTTTTAAATGCAATTTTTCTGACAGTTTTGATTTATCTTTCTCAAATTGAGAAAAATATCATCATGAATAGAACTAGAGTGATGATGAAAGAATAAAGAAATGATTGTCCTTCACATCCAGTCAGTGCACCCAGTGGTCCAGTTTGTTAGCAGTTTAATGTTCTTCCTAGCTCTTCTATTTACTCTGAGTTGTGGATTGAACTGGGAGCCCTCAGGTCTTGAAAGGACTTCAGGGTACCTTGCCAGGATGAGCAGCTCTGCTGAAGTGCAGAATCTGTGACAGTGTGAGCTAGACTGGTTTAACTCCTGCCAGTGGGCTTCAGGTGGGAGTTTGACTAGGAAAGGTTAGCATCTGTGGTATGGTCCACAAACAGATACAGCTATGTTTGGCCCTTCTGGCATCCCTCATCCTGCTCTTATCCTTGCCATTTTCATTGAATGGTTTCCTCTTCTGATTCCAAATATTATTCTTTTCTTTCATTACAGGAAGATACTTGCAAAGTCAACAAAGCATTTTGGGGCCAAGAGTGCATTTAACGTGCAGGTGATTTGTTTTGGCAATATCCTCCATATCACAGGCAAACTATGCTTTTATCATTTTGAGGAGGAAGCTGATGAGTAAAGAGGAATTCATGATAGGTGAAAGTGCCAAATGATTTTTAGCATATAAATTTACTCTCCGGTCATCCACTCAGGCAGTAATGTGGGTGGAGTTCTCATATTAACGGAGAGTTGCCATTTAAATTTCCTGTGCATCAAGCAAACAATAGACTTCCATTGTGTATACATGGCACTGCCATTGATCTGATTGATTTTGGATTGCAGTGGCGGATGTGGGCAGTGGTGTGTGAATTAATAGGAGAGGCACAGTTAACTCTTTTCATGAATGTCTTTATTAGTCAGGACTGTCTTTGAAATAAAATGCTAATAAGAAAATCAGTATTGATGCAGTTAGATGACAGCTCATAATGATTATGGTGTTAGAAAATAAATTATCTGTGACCTGAGTTATGGATTTGTGCAACACTGGGGTGGGAGTGGGTGTTAAAACCGTAGAAAAAGATGGGTATCATATGTTCTTTATGTTCTCTGTTTCTGTATGGTGTGACTTTGTATCTCGTTACCCTTCATTTTCATGGCTCATTTAACAGCAGTGTAAGTTCACATATACAAAGAGTGTATATGGCTTCACATCACTGTCCTACAGAGAATTGTGTTTGAGACTAAATGTTGGGGGAGGTCTTTCAGTAGCTCGGAAGAAATGCTTTTGCCAAGTTTGTGTGATTGAAGTAAAATCAGGAGTATTAGGCATGTCTCCTGCCTCTTGGAAGGATGATCTGGGCACAAGGCTTGGTAGAGCAATGTGCTGCTCCATTAAAGAGAAGCTCAGGTTTGCTGGGTTGCCTGGTTTTGTGCCTTGTCTGCAGCTTTTTGGGGGAATAGCTCAGCTTTCCCTGGAGTGGATGGAGAAGGTTCCTCTGCAGGACAGCCTGTAGCTTGGTGAGGGTGCTCCCCAGAGGGGTGAATATGTGAAGGACACCAAGGCTGAGCTGGTGATCTGTGTGGGGTTGTCCCAGTGAAATGGAGGGGATCCTGGGATGGCAGCCATTCAAGGCACCTGCAGAAGTGAAAGCTATCGTGTTTCTGATTTTTGCAAGTAAAATTATTACTTGTCTCAGATGAATGGGTCTGTTTGTGGCAGATCTTATTCTCATACTTAGAACTTAAATCTATTTATGGATCTGAGTCCTGCAGTCTGGCAGAGCTGCAGAAGCCGATGCAAATAAAAAGACTTCAGCTTCAGTGTGTAAAAACATTAAAGCACTATTTTGAAAAGAAGACAAAAATGGGTTGGTTTCACAAAGGCAGTTTTCTAATAAAGGTTGTTTGAAAATATACTCCATGTTCAGTGGTATTCTAGCTTAATTTCTTGAAATAAAAATTGTGAAACAAATATCCTGCTTTTTACCATGTCAGTATAGTTCAAGGGCCAGCGTTTCTATAGAAATATATTTTACCAACTTCAGAAGCACTATTTCTTCGTATAATTATCTCTTTTCAGTAAATAGGGAAAACATTTAATTTTGTTTTCACCTTGGTTTCCATAATTTTGTTTCCAGCAGAGTCAAAATGTCAGATAAAAGTGATTTAAAAGCAGAACTTGAGCGTAAAAAGCAGCGTTTGGCTCAGATAAGAGAAGAAAAGAAACGGAAGGAGGAAGAAAGGAAGAAGAAAGAGGTAAATATGCAAAAGTGCCTTTCAGATAGCTCATGCTTGCAGAAGGAGCTTGCTGAGGTTTTGACATCTCAGTATTGTATGCTCCAAGGTATCTGTCATGTGGAATGAGATCCTAAAACCCACATCAGTCTAACCTTACAATCAAAATGCTTATTTTTAGTCAAGAAAGTTGGGGTGAGGGAATTGCTTTTAAAACCAACGCACTGTCAGATGACAACAATTTAGACAACATGATGTGTATGTGTGTGTAGAAAGAAAAATTGATTTGCCACAATGCATTTTCCTGGGCTCTCCTTCAAAGGAAAGGGAGTGGGGAGAGTCAGAAAGAGGGCTCACATTTTTTTCAAGCCATTACAATATAAATATGTATTTTTGTACTCTGAAGACTAGTTTGATTACTAGCTAAGGTAACAGATTTACAATTATTATTCTCCAGTAAATTTACTTTGCATTTTCATCTTCTGGCATGGGTGCATCTTTCAGTTCTGTTAAAGTTTGATTGACATATTAGTTTATTTGTCCTTGACAATATGCATTAGGTTTTTCATTAAAGGATTTGTACTTCTTTTTATTCAGTCATTTAGTGGAATAGAGGTGAGAATTGACAGGGAGTGGATATTCATTTTCATGTAAAGTCAGAGAAGCATTAAGCGATTATGTTTCCTTTCCTTCAAATGTCAATACTTACTATAGTTTAAAGCACCTGTTATCCTTTACTAATAACTGGTTTCCTTTTAAACTGACACTTTAATATTGTACATGAATTTTGTGGAATTACTGTGGAAATGTGATGTGATCCAAAAAAATCAGTGTTCCAGTTTTGCCTGTCTTTTTAATCTGTTTTCATTTGAGCCATTTTTGTGCAATTACCAGCAAACCCCCCAGTGAGGCTCCTGGAGTCACTAGGGGAGTCCTCTGTAAGCAGAACTTTAAATGTTAACGTTTTCAGTGTTCATTACTAGCCTACTAATGAATTAGAGGGAAGAGAGCCAAACTAATGGCTTGAGGAAGCTATTAAACCCTTTATTTTATCCCCTGCCTCTGATTTTTATGCCTCTTGGAGATCTTGTGGTGGTTGGAACTTTCCATTGGCTTCGATAGCCAGATCTAGCTCAGGATGCCCAGCTCCACAGATTAAGCTGTGGTGTCTAACTATGCAGAGGCACCACCCACTTACAACAACCCTGTGTGGAACCTAGATAGCATCAGCAACCTTTGGATTCAAATTATTGAGGCAGATGCCTTCAGACATTATTTATGCTGGGATTGCTGTATTTAAGACATGACAAAATAGTAGACACAACCACTTGCATTTTGTTTTACTTGCAGTACTAGTTACTGCACCAGACTACAAAGTGGAATGTGCGTTTAGTTACCTCATCTGCTTGGGAGAAAGGCTGCAAGCCTGTCTCTTTCAGTGGAGTGCTCAAACTGCTAGGCTGGGGTATTGGTATTCTTGTTCCACCCTACTAAATTGAGGGATGATGAGGCGAATATAAAGGATTCTAGCTAACGTAGATGTTGTTCCTCCTATTTCTAGGTCCCAGTACACCAGAGGGGGAGAGGGATAATGTGTGGAAGTTCTAAGGAGATAGAGATATCTAAGCAAATGGAGGATGTGTCTTGTGAACTTAGTTTTGGCTGTTAGTGCCCAGGGCTGCCAAAATCCTACTTAGACGTGTTAGTCCTTTCCTTTGCTCCTGTTATAAGTTGAAGTTTATGAGAAAATATTTTTATTGCCAACAAGTGTTGGGAACAACTGTAGGCCCTTAAGCTACATCACTGAAGTCTACTGGAATTTTAAGAGGTGGATATTTTTATTCAGGGTGATGATATCTGTTATTTTATGGTCAGCTTCTATGTTAGCTGAATAAGTTGCATCCGATGAGTGCAAGTCAGAAGATTTCCATCAGTGCGCTGTAGAAGTCCTTGCAAATATCCTTGCAAAGATCAGTTTTCCCATACATTCAGGGAAAAATATTTTTACTGATCTACACAGTATAAATTATCAAGATTATAAATTACTTTAACATATCTAAGAGAATTTCAAAGTGTACCTGAACAGTGGTGCATATAAATATTTTCCATACATGCAATTTCTCAAGCTGATTATATGTGGATGAAACTTTTCTGTTCTCTTTTGTTTTAACTCAGGCTGATCTACAGCAAAAGAAGGAGCCAGCTCAGGAAGACTCTGACCTAGACCGCAAAAGAAGAGAGACAGAAGCTTTGTTACAGAGCATTGGTATATCCCCAGAACCACCTCTAGGTATTTAAGAGAAGCATTGTAAAGCATTCAGCTCTGCCACAATGAATGCATTCTTTCTATTAAAGCATGCTTGGCTTTTTTTTTATTTTTGGCTGTATTAGTGAAGTGAACTCTTCTGTTTGAATGCCTGCCATACCATTCACACGTACCAGCTCATGGCATTTTGAGTACTTGTCATTGCCAAAACGTCTGTTTCATTTTTTCAAGAAATTTTTGGGAACATAATGCAGGTTGGTTTTGCATACCAGCAAAGATTTCTTTTCTGATGGACCGTTTTATCTTCTCTCACATCCATCTGATGGCCCACAAAATATTATTATTAATGCTGTACTTCATTACCCCCAAGTTTTGTTTCAAAAATTCAGATTATGCATTTGCTAAGGAAGGAGGAACATAGTCATGTGGGAACTCCCATTGGTTTTCTTTTAAAATCAAGCAAAATTGGAGAGGAGAAATAAAAAGACAGATCAAAAGTAGCAAAAAGCTCAACATCAGATTTTTGCTCTGGTTTCATGTGCTCAACCTCTTTTAATTTTGATCTTTCAGTTCTAGAATCTGAAGTCCTCAGTTTAAAAATACATGTGGCAAAGTTTATAGTATCTGATAGTATATAGTATATTGGGGCTGAATCTAGGATATTGCCCCTACATATCCTTGCCTGTAATATTTAGAGAAAGCTCAAAATTTGACAAAATACTGAAACCTTGACTCAGGAAGGCACCTTTTACAGATGCTTGGGTGCATATGGATGTAGATTGTGACAGTCTAAATTGGAATTTCAATTAATAACTTGTATCAACCAACATTTATTGAAAAAGGTTCCTATTTTTATAGCTTATGATGTGTTTATTGAAGCTTTTAAATACCACTTCTCAGAAGAACAGTCTGACAAATAATGGTTAGGTTATTTTTATATAGCATAAAATATGTTTTCTAAAATATTTCATGATATTATAAAATTAGATACGTTTGAAATAGTCATTTTTATCTAAAAATGAGGATATATTTCCTTATATTCTTAACTAAACACTTGTATTCATTTTGCAAATGATCGATTCTTATCTTAGTTAATTATTTTGCGTTTGATACTGTCAAAAGAACCTGAAAATCCAGATATAAGGTGATCTGGTTTACTTAAACAGTAGTATTTTGTCTTCTTTCATTCTCTGTAGAGAATGAAATTCTCTACTCACCATTAACATATGGAGGAGGCTTAAATTCTGCCTTCACATCCACATTTGATACGCAGTTCCCACTGTGAATGTGGAACACACAAAGGGCTGAGACATACCTGTAACCTGCCAAAGGACTGTCACAAAGGTGAATTCACTTTTCATACTGCAGTTATTTCTGTGACAGTCTGTAGTGAGAATCTGCATGAAATGTTTGACCATATGTAAAATACAAATCTCTTGACAGGTCTGTCATTATACATTATAGAGAATAATAAAATAGTTCAAAGTTTTACTCTGTTAAATCTGTAAAAGGAAGTGCACATGATTTAAACTAAATGGGGAACTTCACTCTTGCATTAATACCCCTTTTTGTCTTTTATTCAATGTGGCTGCTTTGAAGAATATTTGTATTAAATCTTGACTGGAGCCACCTCTGCATTTGAAATATTTTTGAGAAACCATTTTAAGAGAAATCAGGATATTTTTACTTTTCTTTTTATTATTTCCTTGCTGAAGAGCTTTAACTCGGGCTGACCTTGAACTATGAACTTCCCTTCCTGTTTCAGGAAACAAAACTGCCTTTGCATGAAATATGCTTCAAAAGCCCTGGCAAGCCAAAGAGAAAATAATTTCTAGAGCTTGGGCAAATAGTATCTAAACCAAGGGAAACTTTTCCTTGAATGTTGAAATCATGTCCCACCCAGAAAGCAAACTTCATATGACCTAAATTACTTAAGAAAACATGATCACTAAGCAATCTAATGTAAATTCTCACCGTCTTTGGGAAATGATTTTAACTTATCTGGACTTCCTTATTTAGCTTTTATTTTTGATGTCATTTCTGCACTGCAGCCTTAGACCGTATCTAATGGACCCTGGCTTTTGATTGAAATTCAAAATTTGGAAAGTATGCTTATTCTATTGCCTACTTGACTTTACCAGAAGAGTTCACTTAGTTTTTTGACAAGACCCTGATATTTCTTCATACCTTTAAAATCTTTTGCAAATCAACTTGAAACTGTACCAAAGAAAGCAAATGCTATTTTATTTCCACAGATATCTCCTCCATTGATTAGTTGAGGTCCCCATTGGGCTTTCAGTCCTATCTAAATTCATGTCAGTTTTAACACTTCCAAAAGACTTAAAATTCACTTGACTCTCTTCCTTTTCTTTTTCTTTCCTTCCTTATTTGCTTTCACCATTTCAAACTCTCCTACTCATTCATCCACTATCATTTTGGTCCATTGGTTTTGATTTGTCTGACACTGCTCTTCATCAGTGCAGTCGCTGCATGTGTTAACATGGGATACCTGTTATTTTCATTATTTAGTCCCAACCCCTATGTCTCCCTCTTCGAAATCAGTGAGCACACCCAGTGATGCAGGCAGCCAGGATTCGGGAGATCTGGGACCCCTGGGAAGGTAAGACACAGAGCCAATAGCATTGAATATATGTGGGGGGCTTGTTCGCTTCGCTCTTAGATATGGCACATTCTCATTTACAGAAGCAAAGGTAAAAATGGGGAAGTAAGAGCAAAGGGAACTTTTGTTTCTGCATTTTCCACTGTGTGTTATCTTCCAGTAAGACTGGTCTCAGATGTGAGGTAAATAAATATGCAGCAAGTGGATCTTAAGAGCCCCAAACCTCATATTGGAAGCAAGAGCTGAATTTACACTTCTAAAATGGCCTAGAGAAAGCTGTCATTCTGTGTGGATATACACTAAAGCCAGGGGGAAGTGCCCAGTGGTAGAACCTGTTACTCATACGAGTTATCTTTGTTCACATAACTAGTCCCCGTTGAACCCCCAGGCTGCCTCAGGTTCTTGCGTGGCTGCTCATGGCAGCGTGTGGCTTTGTGGTGGCAGGGAAGAGCTTGTGCAGAAACACTGAAACACCTCAGGACCCACTGGCAATCCTGCTTTGGAAATGGCAAATATCAGAGAGTTTCATGCAGAGTGGGAGGGAAGCAGCTCTCTTCTTGTTGGAAGGGAAAGGGGTAGTTGGGTGTGCGTACTGGATGGGCACAAGAGCAACCTTCTTACCTGAAAGTTCGTATGGCTGAAATAGGAAATGACGTGGTAACCACGGAGTAATTCCTACTAGGGAGTAGAAAAGAAAGGAGGATGCTGCTGGTAAAGGAACATATGTTCAAGTAAGAAGAGGTCCAAGCAACTATTTTGAAACATGTGAAACATGGATCCTAATAGCTATTTTTATATAAAACTAATTCAACATAAAGCTGAGCAACCAGCTCATCCAAATCTGCAAGCCAAGACTCTGATAATGAATTGAAAACACAGTGATTGCTCTGCACAGTTGTCAGGAGTAGACACCATGCCTTTACATGAGCTTCATACCACAACAGCCTTCTGCTTAGAAAAATCACACTTCTGTCAGCTGAAAGTGTGTTGGGTCCTTCTTCAGTCAGATGTAGACACCATATGTCGTGATGTGCAGGTTACACAGATGCTGCTGAAATCTGTTCAGCCCTTCTCCCAGGTCTACCCTCTAGAAAAAATGGAGGTGGCTAAGGAGGAAGGCCTTAGCCTGTAAGATATGGAAGTTCAAAACACAGAGAAAGGTGTGATGCTGCATTCAGAAATAAACGCAGTAGACTTAAGCAAATCAAAGTCCCTTGAGCAGACAAAAAATTGCTTTTAAGCAAAGTATAGCCTGCTTTTCAGGATAAAATAGTTTCCCACAGTCCTACATGAAGCTATGACAATATTGGCTAGAGACTTTTAAATTCCTGGTTTTCTTCTGAACCTTAATGGTGTAACTTTTTTACTGTTAGAGTAGTGAAGTGCCCTTGGAAGAGTTTATTCTGCTCTGATGTATGCTAGCACTTTGACTCGGTCAGCAGCAACCAATGAAAGCAGGTGACCATACGTCCTCACAGAGGAGAATGAAGTTTGCCCTCTTCTTCAAAACTCATGATGTACTGCATTATACGCTTTCATTTTGGATCCCTTTTCTGGCTTTTTTTGGTCATACTGGTAATTCAGTGGGAATCCCAAGGCCTTGTTTGTAGTCCACCAGTTTGCTTGCCAACCTCTCTGGTATTGGAAGGACTGTGTTACGTGTCAAGAAAGCCACTTGCAGGTGTTTGCCTGGAATGACTGATTTGTGGTAATGGGAATTCAGTGATGTCTGATCCAGGCACTGGGGGATCTGTGGATAGTACTGAGTGGCAGTTACTTTGTCGGTAGATGTAGGTAGATGTGCTCAGGGAGTGGATATGTGAATGACTCCACTCAAGCACGCGTGTGTGATAGAGCAGTCAAACCTGGAGAGTAAAACATTGGTACATTTATCACCACAGCAGGTAAAAAGGATAAACTGTCTCTACTGTTCTCTCTCTGAGAGATGCCTAGACCATACCTCTGACTACTTTGGCAATTGCATATATGAATGTCTGTTTATCTGTGTAAGCGAGGCTACTCTGCTTCATTTTCATGTATCCTTCCATTGTGCTCTCTGTGACAGAAAGGACACTTTTGCTGGATACTCTCTCATGCCATCGTGCTTATAAGATCTTCCCCTTCTCCTCATTCTGTGCAAATGTGCTGTACAACAGTAGACTGAGCACAGGCATTAGAGGAGAGCAGGTTAGTTTCAAACCTGCTAATGCCCCCAGGCTCAGATACGATGGCTTGTCTGTTTTTGTTGCTGCTAACACTGCTGCAGAAATAACGAGCTCACGTAGGCTGCCAGAAATCCTGCATGCAGTCTGATTGCTCATTGCTGAATGGTCTTCAGAGGAAGATATGGATACTAAAAAAAGTCTGTGAAGTCATAAATTTCAGTTCACTACAGGAGAGAGGCCCTCTTGAAAGTTTTGAAGAAAGCAAGAGATCTTCGTATGTTCCCATTTGAGGTGGCACTTTGAGTGCAGAACTAGGTTGGGTTTATACTTCAGTGAGTTGTTGGCATTTCTAGTAGTTGGTCCCAGTATCACCAAGTATATCTGAGGTATGTTTTGATTGGCAAGCATCCACTTTTCAGGAGGACAACTGAAACCACAGCCCTCACTCAATCTTGTTTTGCAAGATGAAAACTAACTTGTAACTTACTTACCAAGTCTTATAGCTATAACTATGTCTTTTTGAGGAGCAAAAGGGCTTCAACAGGCAAAGTGTAAGAACAGAAAAGTGTTTGGTATGCAAGCTGGACAAGTATAAAACCAGAAAAAAAATGTAACATTTTAATGTTGAAACAAATTAATCACTAAAGCAATTTACAAAAAGACTCTGTTTGATCTTCTATCACTGGACATTGCTCATTCAGGATAATGTGCAAGCTCAACAGACAGATAATAGGTCAAACAATAATTCATTCAGAAAAGTCATACAGCTCTTGCATGCACAGGAAGAAAAGCTGCATGGTCACAATGGTCCCTTCTGTCATACAATCTATAGGCTAGTAGTGCTGCTATCCTGCAGGACCACTGTCCATTTTCTCCAGCACAATAGCTAGAGCAGAATTGTGTTTTCCCTGATGCCATTAGGAGAAGGTGTTTAATAGCACTAAATCATGGAAATGTCTATGTCCCATGCAGCCCAGGTTTCTATGTTGTTTTTTTCTCTGCTTGATCTTTAATATTGTTAAAGCTCTTTGTCATAGCCTTTTCACCAGGGTTAACACTAGGTTTCAGGAGCATTCCAGCTTCCACCTGAGTCATGACAGCAACTACAAGGTTGAGCACGTTAGATGAAAGCAATGCTAGGAACTACTGACAGATTTCTTTGAACGCTTTCAGTTGGACAGGAGAGCCAATTTTTTTTTTTTTTTTCTTTAAATGATCTTGGGGATCAATTCTGAGTAGGCAAAGGTGTGTTGTACTTTGATTCTGGAAGATTTTACCATAACTGTGGACTTAAGAAATAGGTTCGATATGTGCCGCTCTTAGTTATCAGGCTGCTCTGAACAATTCCTCAGAGCCCTGTTGTTGCACAGTGAGCAACCTGCCTATCTCCACATTGCTTTGGACACTCTACTTCACTTTTCTGTTTGCTGTGTTGCTGGTGCTATGGAGATAAGACAGGAAAATTACATCACAGCTTGAACAGACAGTCTTTGGATAGGTGAGTTATTGGTTCACAGGACTTTCTGTTATGATGTATTCAGACATGACTCGTTTTCCACAAAGCAACGTTACAGGATCTCATGAAGGTTCTCCTTGGAATGCAGTAATGCTCAGCTCTTTCAGGGTATTTTGTTTTGTTTAGAATCATAGAATTCTTTAGG